ATTGTTTTTGCATAGTACTTGTGACATACGAAGTTAATCTGCCGAATTACAAACATGTACAGTGAAATGATGTTTAACATACGTATCTCGACAATGCATTTCTACTTCACAAAAACCGCGGTTTGAAATGTTATTTACAGCATGTTATCATGCTTTTAGATGACAAATATTTTTAGTATAAGATTTTGAGATGCGGAGTTATAGTTTTTACTGCAGAGCTGTCCCTACAACAACTTCTTCATACAGTCCTTGAGTTAGCAGTATGCTATAGTACTATAGAACTAGCTCAGGGACGTCGCTACGGATTTTCTCTGGGGGAGTGGGAGGTCAAAAGAAATTTTTTCGTCCACAGGTAGAGGTAACTGTGGACCAATTTTTCAAAAAAATTTTTTTTTGTTTTTTCGCGTACAGGTACCTATGGAATTTTTTTCGGATCGGCTCTGGGGGAGGGGGTACCCCCCCCCCTTACCCACTCCCCCAAACGACGTCCCTGAACTAGCTTGTAGTATATACTTATGTTGTGCTATAACTAAAAAAGTATTAACCATAACCTAATAATATAATTTTAATTTTTTTGCCTACTACAACATAATCTCGTTTTGCAATACTGACATTCCAAACTTATGAAACCCATTACTTCAAACTACTCAGTAATGCCAGTCAATAACTCTTGATTTCCCAACCCTCTTAATCCCATATTGTTGTAGTAATACGAGGTACGTCAACACTATTTGTGGATGTAAACAAACAGTAAACCAGTACGAGTAATCGAAGTTAATCTCATGCAAAATAGACTGCAGTATTCAAATTACAAGGAAAACGGTCGAAAAATGAAGGTAATAAGAAGTGATAAACGGAAAAACACGGTGATTATAAGATTTCGTTGGGGGCTACGGTATTGTAGACGCGTTTTCAAAAACAAACTGCTAATAGCATTGTTTTGTTGCCGGGCCAAAAGGTAACGGGTAACAACGACAAAAGACTTAAGTACTGGGATTACCATGATGTGCGACAGACACAGGAAGCTAATTTTCAAAGTCTATGTTAAACATCAGATGGGAAGTAGTTTTCCGCTTTATTAACTAACATAAGAAACACCATTTTGAAAGAAAGTCTTTAAAAGTTAAAAATATTTGCCATAAAAACCTGCCCTGTTTTCAATCACCGCTATACCACTTCCAATCCACCCCCTCTGCCAAACCCACAAACAACAAACGCCAAACCCAAAATCTGAACACCTAAAACAATATCCGAGATCAAAAGTACAGTGAGTGTATTCGTTTTAACTCTGTAATTGTTTTCGTAGTAAGCTAAAATTGTTTCTTCCGGTAAAAAGTTGTGCGCGAGATCCGCTGAAATACAAAAAAACCTGAACTCATCGTTTTTGAATCGGGAGAACTCCGTTTCATAACGTTTCAAACCCACATTTCATAACAACATCACGTCGCGTTTGAAACGAGTGTACATCAGTTAGGCATGCTGTGGTTTTGAGTATAGTTTGGTAAAGTAAGTTGGATAAAAATGCGGTCTTTTGTTTGTAAAAATACAAAAATGATAAAGCTGATAATGTTTTAGTCAGAAAATATTTACATAAACAGTACTATCCAATTATTTTAAAATGTTGACTCTTAAAAAACCAAAACAGCTCCAAAACTAGTACTAGTATAAACACCCTTTAGTACAGTCATTTTTAAGATGAACCTATAGCTTTCTTCGAAAAATTTACTGATTAACCACGATCACATATTTTCAAAAAATTTCATTTAGTGATACCCCTCCATCATAGCCTGGCTTTGAGACCGGCTTCAACCTTGTCACAAACCTAAATTCTCACCTTTCAAGACAACATCTACTACAAGATACCGTAAATCTCCGACAATCCACTAAAAATAAAACCTAATTCCAATCGTGACACATTATACAAGTTGCACTTCATAAAACGTCGCTTTAACTCGGGAAAACCTCAAATTAGTCATTAACCTCTTATTCTAAATACAGCTTTCCCTTAAACCTCCGGAATGAACCTAATTTGTCTCTCTTAAAAAGTTTGTGATCTCCAGCTGACATATGCATTATTATAAGCGCAGAATGTGTGTATCCGATTACCAATATTTTTGACACGACATTAATGTGGCCAGCAGAAAGACAAACGATCCGCTCCTTTAATGGCCACAAGGACATTCATCATGTAATTCAAACTCTTCCACATCTTCAAACTCAAAAGTTTGGGCGACATATGTGTTGGTTTTGGCATATTTGAAGAATTTTTAAGTACAATAATGATTTTTGAACTTTTTTTATAAAATTATTGCAAAATATGATAAGTGACTCGTATATGGTGTTGCAATACCCTACTTAACCTTTATAACTAAATTTGCAAAAAAGAAATGTCGATATATCACCCAAAAAAATACTAAAACCTATCACAATATGAAATGGCAAAAAACGTCTCAACTTCAATATTTTTTCTTAAAGATTAAAAACTAGTACTGTAACTTAGATGTCTTGCAATAAAAATTGTTTAAACCAAAAAATTAATCTTTCTAGCGTCAAGAATTAACCAGTTATTATACTTTTCTTCCGCCGAAAAATTAATATTCATGGAATGAACAAGTGCCATGCAACAATCGAGACACACTACTTTTGAAAGATTAACTTAGTTATTAGTTTAGATCCATTCACTCGACGATGAAGTTTAAATTAAAAATTTTAAAACTTATGTTAGAATGTCTTAGAAGTCTAAATTATAATCACAAAGACACAGCAAATAATATATTAGAGTTGTCACCCCCAAAAAGTAAAAAAAATATTCACCATACCCTAAATTACCGTTAAAGACAATATCCACCATACTCAAAAAACAGCTAAAAATAATACCATCCATACCTCCAATTACTGTGAAAAACAATATCGGCCTCTCAAGTGTAAGATCCAGAAAGTTTTAGTGCAAACACTCTCCGTCTGTATCCACCCCAAAAAATACACTTTTGAGTTTTTTAACGCGCCTAAAACGATTATGAAGAGAATCGAAACGGTTTTGTTTACATTACTCACAGTAAGGGTATTCCTATACCTTCAAACCGGGAAATCGGAGCGCGACGGCTAGGATTAGAAACTCAGCCGGAAACACGGTACTATCGATACCGATAAGCGTTCGCGTATTATTTACATGGTATCATAAATTTCGGAAAAAAGGATAAGCTAGTATAACAATAATTTAGTCGTTGTAGTAGTGTAAGATGATTTTTCAAAGAATAGGTAGATTTACATTAAAAACAACATGTTACTTTAGTTAAACAAAACTAAAATAAGATCAATTTGAGAAAAACGCCGTATAACTTTCCAAAATCTTTAAAAAATTTTCAAGCTGCATATTATACTAAGTCTCAACCTACAAAAACCCAAGCCCCACCTTTAAAAAGTAACTGCCAAAACCTCAAGGTATACTTCCAAGACCTTCCACAATATTCCACTTTCGGAACGATAACCTTCACCCATCCGAATCGAGTGAAACGTTTAAAACAAGGTTCATACCCGAGGTGTACTCTTGCGCAGCAATCAACCGGCTTAACTGACGCAGTTAAACCGCGCCATAAAAACAGAAGGTGCGGTGTTTTTGTTTCCGGAATACAGCCCCCAGGGCCGCACCTTAACCTCAAACTTTGGGGATTTTGAAACCGCGCAAATCCCATAAAAAACGTTTTAAAACCACAAACAGGTAAACAAGAACCTTCAAGTGGTCGCGTACAATATTATTTATTAAAAGCCTACAAAACTTTTTATCAAACCTTCTTCTATTATTTTGATTTCATATGTTATAGTAGATCATTATTTTCTTTAGCATTCCCAACTTTTTCAAACTTAAAAATTGAAGGTTTAGTAGTTTTTACAGCAATTTAGTATTAATTCTCTTTGTCAAACACATGTAAAACAAAAAAAAACAACAAATATCTTACCTAAAAGATGTCCTTGCCAATCTTGACCGGAAACTCAATGAAATCTTGAACAAAGCTTGATCTTTCGAAGTTTTACTAGTTCTCTTTGGTGCTTCAACTTGTCGTAGTCGCTAAAAACTACAAAATTATATAAAAATTTAAAATAACAAGTAAATTATTCCATGAACATACAATTAGTTCTTCCGTATATTTGCAAGAAACAAAATTTTGTCGAAAAATCGCCAGACGACATCTTTTCTAGACAAGAGATTTATTTTCTAAACTTTATGACAGGTTTTTCAAACGGATAAATATTTTGGAAAAATATTTTAGTTTTCCATAAGATATTTTTCAAAGTTCGCGGTAAAATACCTTTTTCATCGATTAAACCAGCTGTTTACTTGGTTTTCTTGTTTCATTTGGTGCGCAACTTAACATTTAGTCGTTTTCACCGGTATTTTCAACTTTTTGTTCTTTTGAAGAGTTCTGATGTATTATTTGTTGTATATTTATGTCAAAAGCGTGTTAATTTTGCTGAAAATATGTTAATTTTGTTATATTGTTTATGTCTTTTCAAAGAAAAATACTTGGTTTTACTTGCAATTCATTTTGCTTGCTACTACCGCCAAAGTTTTCGGAGCAACATGGTAGTACACTTCACTTTCTTTCTCCTCAACGTCAATGATCATTGGTCGACTACCTCTGGGGAACCAGTAGGCTCAAGATGGGACAGGGTAAGTTTTTTTTACATTTTCTTTGTTTTTTAGATAACATTCTGGAAAATTGAGATTTTTAGTGTTTTTTACAGAAGACTTATGCAAATTTTCGAACTTTGTGTAATTCATGAGAATAGAACGTCAGTCCCATTCGAATCTGGTGTAAAGCGGTCAGTCTGTGGACAGAAACTTGAATCTCTTTGAACTTGTAATTTCTTCGAGGAAAATCAGCTTCGGTAAGTTTTTAATTTGTTTCTAAGTGGTTAATGAACATATAAAGTCTTTTTTTAAATTTAAAAATCATTAGACATGTTTTTTACATTTTGTGAACGAAAGTTTAAGGAGAAAGATGAACGCAGAACATGAAGCTTGGTTAAACACAAACATTGTTAAAAAGAATGTAGAAGCTCACCGAGCGGATTTCGCTTCACTAAAAAAGGCATTGGATCCAAAAGACTTCAAGGTTTGTTATATTTTTTTTGTAATAGGCAAGTATCTTTTATAGTCATATTTTTAAGGCAGATATTCATGTTGGTAACCGTATCCTTTAGTGATGTTTTTACATGCAGCCGGGACTAATATAGTTAAGTTTGTTACAACAAAATCTTACTCTTGCTTTCAGACTTTCCTGGCTCAACCACAAGGAACCCGTAACCGTTACCGCGATGTCGTATGTTTGGAAGCGACCAGAGTTAAACTGAAAGGGCTAGAGAACGACTACATTCACGCCAACTACGTGAGCACGCCCAAAAGCGACAAGAGAATCATTTGCACTCAGGGGCCGACTGACACCACTTGTGGCGACTTCTGGACGATGATCTTGCAGGAGAAGTCGGCCGTCATCATCATGTTGTGCAACTTTTACGAGAAGAATATCAAGAAGTGTGCCGAGTACTTTCCCGTTGCCAAAGGTCAGAGTGTGACTTTCGAGAAGATCAAAGTCACTTGTACTAGTCAGCAAGATGTAAGTTAAGATGTTGGGCTACCTTTAGGCCAATGTATGCTACTCTTTAATCTGATTTCTGTAGATGGGTCTAGACGAAGCATTTAATGTCGTCAAGCTCCGGTTGTCTCAACTGGTAGTCACTAGAGACAAGAACAAGATGGAAGTCGACCACTACCAATGGCTCGACTGGCCTGATCGTGGGGTTCCTGAAGGCGATGTCACTGCCATTAATTTGCTTCAGAAGGTCGGTAACACCAAGTAAGTCATCTTTTTGATGTAATGTTGCGATGCAAATGGTATATTGCCATTTAATAGTGACTTTAATCATGTTGTTTATTATATTAAATATCTTCTGCTATTCCAGATATCCAATTGTCGTTCATTGTTCGGCCGGCATTGGTCGTACTGGTTCGATTGTCATGCTACAGTACTTGCTAGACGCTACTGAGCTGGGAAAGCCGTGCGACAAGCTGGACCAGATTTTGGCTACGATCAGAGATCAACGGGCTTTAAGTGTGCAGGTATGTTTGGCAATGTGTTAGTGTGGTCTTTGCAATCTTTTTGTAATCCTAGAAATAAACGAAGTTACTATAATATAGGAATTTATAAAAAGCGTTTTTCAATCATAATAAGATGATCTTAAACTTTTCTTTGTTTTCAGAACGAACAACAATACCTTTACGTGATCCGAGTGTTCCTGGACTACCTCCTCCGAAAGGGTCTGGTCGTAAAAGATTCCGATGGGAGAACACCGAAGCATATTACGCATATGAGAAAGTTCCTTTCCGAGTACACTGCAGCAATCGATGGAAAATAGACTTAATTTATTGGGTTCTTTGTTCTTCTGGGGCTAGAATAAAGATACGATTTGGTGTTGTCGGTGTTCTTATATGACATTGTTACTTTGCAATATTTTCTTGTTTTTAGCTTTTTTTACAGTTGTGAAAACTACTTGTTTGTGTTTAGCAGATGATTTTTTTGTTATTCTTTGCATAATAACCACAAATAACGGTATATAGTAACAGTAAAATATGTATGCAGCTGAAGTTATAAATTTGTAGTATAATATCTTTACTTCGACAAATTTAAAATTGACAAATAAAGATGTTCGCAGATTCGTAGCAGCGAAGGTAATAATAGTTGTACTCTAAGCCTTTTCATAGTAAAAAAAAGAACTGATAAATTTGGAAAATTGTTTTTACTCAAATGAAAAATAGAAGACCTTATTGTTAACTTATATGGTCCTTGACAAAACTGTGCAATACAAAATGGAAGGCTACGAAACTTCAATGACATGCTTGTAGGAGCTTTTTCGTAACATATATAATAGAATATTTTATCTTTTGTTTCAAAAAAGTTTCATAACTTCAATGAAGTTTGAACTTTTACACTAAAATTTCAAAAATATAAAGATTTAACAAAAAAATGGAAATATGCAAATTTCAGTGAAGTTTCCAATTTCGTATCAATATGCAAATTTCGTAGGACTCTTGATCCACCGAGTTCAAAAGATGACAAACGAGCTTCATTTACACTCGAAACAACTATAGAAAGTCAGTCGTTCCATTGAAGTCATTCTCGAAAATGTTTTGGATGATTCTGGTGACATGTTCGACTGCGGCTTTGTTTGGCTTCGCAATAACGATGCAGTGTTCCAAGAAGAAAGAGGCCGAAGCGCCACCCGCAGCACCTGCAGGAGATGCTGCAGCACCCGCACCAGCTGGAGATGGTAAGGTTTTGACTATTTTTAAAAGATACTACAGTACTGGAAGAATACCTTTGCTAGGGTTCTATGCCTTACGCTTTAAATCCGAAGTCCTAGACCCAACTTTAACTACGTCTTTTTCAGCTGCGCCTAAGTCATCTAAATCAGCTAAATCTAAAAAACCTGATGAGGCTGCTGCTGGTGACAAAGAAAAATCGAAGAAAGATGATCCTGCTAAGCCTAAACCAAACAACAAGGTTGGTGTTGCTGATACTCATGACCCTAATTATCAGGTAAGTTAGTCTACTTACATTAGTTTTGTATTATAAAGTTATAAAAAATTTTAAACTTAGTTTTAAAAACCAAAATTTCAGACCATGGCTGGGTTGGCCGATAACTTTGGCCCAGACAAGAAAGACGGAGATAAACCCAAAGAACCGAAAGAAGGTGAGAAAGTTGTTGACCCCCATGATCCTAACTACCAGGTAGGTTTACTTGTTTATTTTCTTTATCTTCCAAGAGAGATAACATCCTAAATACTATTTTGCTTTTTTCTTTCTATTAGCTTTAAATTCATCATTAAAAATTTCTGTCTTCAGACCCTGGCGAATGTGGAAGACAAGTTTGAAAAGAAGGATGGCAAAGAAGCTCCAAAGGACGAGAAACAAGTTGCTGGCACCCACGATCCCAACTACCAAACCATGGCTAACATGGGCAAAAACGACGAAGTCTTCGGCAAGGATAAGGAGAAAAAGAGCGGTAAAGAAGCACCAAAAGCACCAGACGAAAAGGACAAAAAGGCCGGGACTCATGACCCTAATTACCAAACTATGGCCAATATGGGTAAGAATGATGAAGTGTTCGGAAAAGACAAGAAGGACGACAAAAAGGACGGCAAAGAAGGACCAAAAGCACCAGATGAGAAGGACAAGAAGGCCGGCACCCACGATCCCAACTATCAGACCATGGCCAATATGGGCAAGAACGACGAGGTATTTGGCAAAGATAAGAAAGATGGCAAAAAGGACGATAAAAAAGAAGCACCAAAGGCTCCAGAAGACAAAAACAAGAAAGCTGGTACCATGGATCCTAATTACCAGACTATGGCCAACATGGGAAAGAACGACGAAGTCTTTGGCAAAGACAAAAAAGATGGCAAAAAGGACGACAAAAAAGAAGCACCAAAAGCACCAGAAGACAAAAACAAAAAGGCTGGTACTATGGATCCAAACTATCAAACGATGGCCAACATGGGCAAGAACGACGAAGTGTTCGGCAAGGATAAGAAGGACGACAAGAAGGATGCCAAAAAGGACGACAAGAAGGATGCAAAGAAGGACGATAAAAAAGAAGCTCCAAAAGCACCAGACGACAAGAATAAGAAAGCTGGTACCATGGATCCGAACTATCAAACTATGGCGAACATGGGAAAGAACGACGAAGTCTTTGGAAAGGACAAAAAGGACGGAAAGAAGGACGATAAGAAAGACGTAAGTTTGCAGCCTGCAAAACGACTCAAGGGTGGGGCGCGAAGTGGAACAGAAAAATGTTTCTGTCAAATAGGGTGAGAAACGGGCCGTCTAGGCCCGGCCTTGAGCTAAAATTGAAACGGGCCGGGCCCAAAGGTTAGCCCCGGCCCGCGGGCCGGGCTTGAAAATTGGGCCCGGCCCTTTTCTCACTCCTAGTCAAAGATAGGCTGAAATTATACTTGGAGAAATTAGAATACTGGGAAAGAGGCTTAAAATGAGGTTTTAGTATATTAAATTTATTCTAGTTTTAAGTTATACATCATTTAATTTGACTGAAAGTTTGATTTTCTTTTTGGATATAGTTTACACAATTATTGTCTGAAAATTTGCCTCCAATTTTAACGTTTGTTACCTAAAACTCTATTTTTATTTTTGGTTCTGAATATCAAAGTTGAACTAAACTTTAATTTACGTTTTTTTGATCTAAATTGCTGTGTAATTACTTCTTTTTAAACTTGAATTTTTGCTTTTTACTATAATATTATTTTACTTTTTTTAATTATCGCATGTTTTACATGTGAACTTGTTGTAACTACAATTGCTCCTTATGAGTGCGTTCAAGATTAGCAATTTTGTATTTTTCGTGTTAAAATGGTCAATTTCAGATTAAAACGCCCGAGGACAAGAACAAAAAGGCCGGAACTATGGACCCCAACTACCAGACCATGGCCAACATGGGGAAGAACGATGAGGTGTTTGGCAAGGACAAGAAAAAGAAGTGATCTGACTCTGTCTTGTTGTATATCTTTTGCTTGTAGATTTGGAATGAAGGATTGTCGCGTCTTGATGTAGAGATTTAAAATGATGTTATATAGAGTTGTGGCTGACGTATTAGTGTATATTTTTGTTTGTTATTGTGTTGATATTGCGTTTTCTCGGTATTTGGTGTTTTTTGAAGTTCAAAGAGCTCGATACAGCTTTACTATTTATTTGTTTGCGGGCATAATACTGTTCTTGTTCATGTTTTAGTTACTAAAATCTTAAGTTTATATTATTTATGGTCTATTTTATAGGTTTTTGTCTTTTACGTGCTATATTGTAACATACTGAGGTATGGGTCAAAGTTTTGACTTCTTTAGCTTCTTAAAGCTTTATTTTTTCTATTTTGGGTCCTAATGTTAACGTTGCTGTATGTTTTGGATGTAACATTAGATAAGCAGATGAACACAGATTAGGAGAAACTGTAACTGTGCATTTGGGAAATTAAAAACCGGTTTAAATGTTACAAAATCAGAGAAAGATGAGCTTTTGGGTTGAGTACTTATCATAATACACGGCCACGTAATGATCCTATACTCTGCCCACAAAGTTTTTAAGCAGATTTGTGCTTTACGAGATGTTGTATATATGTAATGTCGTACTGTAGACGTTACTATAGATTTTAAAAGTTTAACAAACTGTTTTTTGCCATGTTTTAAGATGTTTTTTTGTCAACAGCTTATGTGATTACAGTGATGGCATTTTGGTGTAGGTGTTGTACGAAGAAGATCATACGCAAGGTAGTGTTTAGAGTGATGTGATGTTGTATAAGCCCATTTTATATGTTACTTTGTTAAATTATATCAAAATCGTAGTTTTTATGAACTTCTTGTTAACATTACTTTTTGAGCTATATACGTATTTGTTGAACTCTGTTTGTATTACCGTATGTCTTAAAAACGTAAATGCTAACGTGAAACAGGGTGACCTTTACCGTACGTCCTCTTGAACTTGTTGTCTCATTGCTTTGTTACTTAGCTATTGATGTTCTATGTTACTCAACTATTTATGTTTTATGTTCTACAAATACACATGCTATAACAATGTTTCGTAATGCTGTTTCGTACAAAAACAGTTGGATATAATAAAACCTGAGATCTCCATAGCGACTTTCAGGAGGCGACCACCGCCAGAAGCCCCGAGGACACAATAGAAGTGGGCATTATGCTCTGGCTGGTCATCTTTTCTACTTTTTTGGGGGTTTTTTGCGACGAAAAAACGACGATTAGCAGTATAACAATAAAGAGCGATTGTGTGGAGGATGAGTTTCACTATAAATGTAACAGTGGAAAATGCATACCGGTATATTGGATATGTGATGGAGTGGCAGACTGTCCGGATCAGGACGACGAAATGAAGGAAGAATGTCGACCGAAGCCGAGAGGGGCTCCTGACGAGAAATTTGGTAAGGTTTTTTTGATATTGAAGTTTTAGAATGAGGATGGACTTACTATACGCTAGGATGAACAAAATTTATATAGTGAAGAAGAAAATACATTTCATATAGTTTTTAAAACTTTGGCTTTTTTATATATGTATTTTTATAAGTTTTTAGTTCGTGGAGATTGTCCAGCACGTCAATTCGAATGCAAAGATGTCTTTGGTAACGTTCGGTGTGCTCTAGAACAGTGGCTATGTGATAATCGGCTAGATTGTGCAGATGGAATTGACGAAATGTATTGCGACTACGACTCAAACGCTACCACGATAGAACCTGATTCAGATAGGACTTCAGGTCGACATGATAGCATAAATAAAGCACCAATGTCAAACAAGGCAACAGGATTGGGTAATGCGGTTTCATCACACGGAAAGAATACTCTAAAACAAGCGACCGTGCCCTTTTCGAGTACAATTAACTGTTTTAAATGTCACGATGGGAAATGTGTTGACACGAGCACGTTGTGTGACGGTAAACGGGACTGTGACGGCGGAGAAGACGAACAAACATGTACAACAACTGTTAAAGGTCAGTTTTTTTAAAATTTTTTATATTTTTGTGATTGTTTGGCCCGTTTCGTATTGTTTTGGTAATGTTTTTTTACTGATTATGCGTGTTTTGGGCTGTTTAGACAAGATTTTGTGCTTTTTAGATGGGCTATGTTGCTGTTTAAGTTTTGCACTGCTTTTTTATTGTTTTTTTTAACTTGCTGCAAGGCAGCATCACGTGCACTTGACATACACAAAAGCATGTTATTGTAGTGTTGTAGTATGTAACAACGCCCAAATTGTAGCGGCTAAATGCTAAATTATTTTCCGTTTTTAACTTATGGACTTTTTGGTATAATTACCAGTTTTGTGTTGTGAAATAACACGCATACATAAACTGCAAATTGTATCACTATTAATTAAGCCTCTAGAAATCTAGTAACTTTTGCAATTCTTCTTAAATTCAGTACAATATTGGCACGTATCGTCGGGTTTCATAACAGGATATTATATACTGTCTTTTTTGTTTTTACAATTTTGAGTACCAAAAAAAATTTTGAAAAATAGTTTTTCACTTACGGTACCTATTTAAAGTACAAGTCCTATGTAAAGATTGAGGCACAAAAGTCTGTAACCCAATCGTAATGTCTATTTTGGAGAATGCTACGGTAGCTAGATTGCCTTGATGTAATGTGCGGGGTTATCCACATTACAATTACTTTCTGTTTTTTATTACTGTCTTTTTGGGCGACATGTCGTGCACAACGTGTACTTGCCATTTATCTATTTTGTTGACTGGTTTGTCACATTACTCGATCGTAAGAGTGCAGTCGACAATTACATTTAATTTAAAATTTTCTTAGGTCATGAGTATCGGTAGTACCCGAAAGGCTTCGTGCGTGTATAGGTTACTGTAGGATTTGTCGCGGTTAAAAGTGCGTGCCCAACAATTTGCATGTCATCTTAGTCATTTCGTCCGAAAAAAACTTAAATGAGGGGTTTGCAGCTCTTTTTAGATGCGTTTATAATAATATCGCGGGGGGTGATTTGTGAGTCTTTGTACTCAAATTGTAAATTTTTATGTTTTACTTTAATGTAACAGTGTAATTGTGGTTAAAAAATAATTAAAAGGACAAGGTTTTGTTGTTGTACAAGGTATTCACTTTGATTAGTTGGTACCCAGAGGTCAATGTTTATGTTCCGGTTTAATTTGCTTTGTAATTATGCATTAAAGAAGTGTAAATCCTATTAGTTACGGCATTTAGGATGTAGGATGCATATAGTTTCCAAATTTTGAAACAGGAATTGTGTTTTACAGTGGAGAAAAGATACTATGGAGTAAACTATAATATCCCTGTCGTAAAAACGTAAAATTTGCAGTAAACAGAGAAAATGCATATTGTAACAATGTTTTTGTTATCGAAAATGGCTGATTAGAAAAAACGACGTTTTGTGTACGATACTAAGTCTTATACAGTACTGAGTTTATCGCTGTTATATCTTGCTTTTTTTTATGGTTCAAAAATAATATAGGTATACTACTTATTGTTGTGTCTTAACCCATACTACTCAACGTACAATCTCTATAATAGTTCTAGTCATTTGAATTGTTTTAAACCTAATTGCTTATATTGTCTCAAGTGCAAGGTTTTTTAAGCAACAAATATACACGTATCAAAGTGAACTTTGTTACAGTATCAAAACACGGAAATGAGGCAGCGACAGTAAGTATAACAATTTTGATTGTACTTGCTATTTCGAATCTTTCTAATGTCAACAAGCGCCTGACGACTGCTATCATATATTGTAGTGCACATGTTCTATCAAACGTGTTCAAGTGTTATAACCTTTGGGGTTAAGTTGTAAAGATTTCTGGTATTCGGAAAGTTACTTGAGTGACTTAGCTTAAGTGTTCTGTTTTTTGAAACAGTAGCGTTTAATTTAGATACAACAAGGTTATTCAAAATAGATATTTCTTATTATTTAATTTTAAAAAAGTGGCTTACGGCATTGCTTAATGAGATTACTGTGGTATAGACACACTTGTCACTAACTTATAGTAAGTAACAAATACTTTGCTGTGATTGGATGTTTGAGTAGGTATAAATGTTTGTTTGCCGTGACCTAGAAAGTAGTTCTAGCTAGGTGTTTGAAGGCACGTAGTAAACACAAAATTGTTAATATTTATAGCAGACTGGGGAACACTCAGCAATAATTACCTGTTCAGTAGTTAACTATGTACTTTTAACAAGTTTTAGAAAGTCCGGTAGTAAGTACAGGCAAAAGTACTCCGATCAAGCCACTTAATGTTCAAAGCTCAACCTCTCAATTCACCAACACTCGGTCTTTATCAACCAAAACTGCCACAGCTGGTACACCAGTCAAAGCAATAACTCATAACATATTGTCGTTACCTAACATATTTTCTCAAAATGTGGTAGCTACAACCAAAACAGTGAAACTACCGGATATTCACGATTCTGTGAAGGTTAACAAAGAACCAATGAAGAATAAGGCCTATAAGCCATCAGAAACTTCGCAAACTGTCAGTTCTACCGCAAACAAACCGATTCGAATCCACATTTTCAGCCATACCGTACCGACGACTGTAGCAACGACGTCAGCACGAATTCGTACCTAAACTCGTTAAAGTTCATGTTTGTAGACGTATTTCAGTAAACAAGTTATTATTATTGGTATGGGCCAAAAGTACGGACAAAATGTTGCGCCGAGGGCAAAACAACAAGAAGCCGGTTGCAGAGATTCTGGGGAACTACTTTGTATTCATTTCGTGACGTTCATTTTTGTTTTTGGCTTATTGTAGTTTACGGTTTTGTACGGGTATTAGGTGGAACACAAGCATTGTGTTGTTGTATTCAAAGAGGTTACAATACATATTTAAAAATTAATTAAAATAAAGTGAAAATAATTTTAAACTTACTGTAAACAAAAAATACGGTAAAGTATAAAATTTAAATTTGAAATTCGGAATTTCGTCAAATTTTCAAATGTTTTAAAATAATAATGTTCTGGTCATATGATATGCACAAACATAGAAAGAAGAACTCAGAAAGATTGTGTCAATTATGTGCGTAGTGATTGTAAACTAATTAGTTGTAAAAGGTCTCGAGATAGTTTGTAAACAATTTTTGGTTTAATTAACAGTTTCGAGGACAAAGATAGATACATTTGCACTGGCCAAAAGGTAGAAAACCAATACCTAATTTGTTGTAACTGCTTATTTGTATAGTAATATAATTATAGTTTGGCATGGTTGAACTGTTTGTAAAAAATATTTGGCCAAAACCAAAAACTATTTTTGAAAAAATTGAGAAATTATTATACTGTAGAAGTTAATTTAATATACTGTAATGTATATTGCTTAGTGTATTTTTATACACAAGTATGAAAAAGCATAAGTGAGCTAAAACGAAGATTTAAGGATAACTGGATATGTCTGCAAGCCTGTTGTAACTTCTTGAACCCGCAGTGCCATTAGTTACGTATTAAGGCAAAGTTGGATTATCGTACAAAGTCTGTGTGACGACACAAACTTGTCTTACAAAAGACACACGTGTGCTAATACGGCTATGCGAGAATGTAGACGTTTATACCGCGAAAAGATATTCTTCGTTTGTGGCAGTAAACATATCATGTGAAACTGTCACTGTACTTGTGTTGTATGGATAAGTCATGGGTTAAGTTTATAGCAAAGAATTAGCTATTTTTTTGGTTTTTTTAAATTTTACAAAGTCTCGTTTAGTTTTTGTACTACTTTTTGTAAGGTGTAGTAACTGGCTATTAAAAGGCGTACTATATAATATTACACTTGCTTCTCAATCTCTTACCTAGTTTTTTAGAATTCGAATGTACTTTCAAATGTCGAAAAAAGTAATGGCAAAGGATTTTTCGTTGATCTATTAGTGTAAATTATACCTGTTGTAAACATTCATTAGACTAAAAACTTTAAAAGTTACTAAATCGTAAACTTTTTGTTTAAATTATTAGTTATATCAGAGGAAAATGTGCACTTTGCTTAGTACATTGTAAAAACAATACGATAATGCACTTTGACTGTAAGTTATAGTGTTTAGTCTGTGACGCAACAAATGAACCCGCTGGATGTTCAAGTAGATAGATGTAACTTTACATCCAGCGCAATAACTAAAATGCAAATATACGTAGATGCACGTAGGCAATTGATACCAAAGAATTATTTCTGAATTTTTTGTTTAAAAAATTAAATTCAGGGTGTTTCATTGAAATCTTGAATTTATTTTTAGGCAAAATGTTGATTTGCAAGTTCAAATGAATTTTAATGAGTTTAAAAGTTAATAATTAAACGAAGCATTTACAGGGTGTCTCAAGAAATTTGCAGGATTTTAAAAAAAAATTTGTAATTCATGTTTGAGTGATGACTGAAATACCAAACTTGGTACGGTGGAAGTATGGCCAATGTACAGGGCTACGGATTTTTTCTGGGGGGGTGGAGACCCAAAAAAATATTTTCGTCCTCAGGTAGCAGCTACCTGTGGACCGATTTTTCAAAAAAACTTTTTTTTCGATTTTTCGCGTACAGGTATGTTAAAACTTTTGCCATTTCAACTAATCTATCTTGTAATGTTCGGAGATATTGCTACTTCTATTATTATAGTTGCCTACGTATACAATATCGTGTGTATCGATTGGATTCTTTTGTACTGTGTTTTTAACAAAATATTTTCGAAACGGGGCTTAAAATGTAACAAAGTTAGGCTTCCGAATTCTTTGGGAAGCCCTGGTTGCAATGTGAATGTTACATACATTCCAGAGATCTAATACGCTCTAAGTGCCTCAGGGGCTTCAATTAATTTAAATACTTGACCGCTTCGAATTCCGAACAAATTGTTTTCGCTGATATACGATAACTATTTGGCATATGGTATGGGATATTGATGTAACCTGTAATATACAAATCATTTGCTAAATTATTTACTATTTCAGCACTAACAATGATTACTGTACTCGTTATGGTGTTTATCGTAGTAAAAGGTTAAATGAGGAAACATTAACAG